CTCGCTGCAGGAGACAACCCCGAGGTGCAAACTCATCCCCTGGGACGCAGCCCCCGTACACTCACGTCTGTGGAACAGCATCTGCCTCCAAAAATAAACATCCCTCACCTCCAGCTTTGGCGTAAAACGCTAGTCCGTTTAGGGCTAGAGCAGGTCAGGTCTTGGAGAACCGGAGCATTAAAACCCAATGAAAGTGATGGAGAGCATTAGAAGGGTCTCGTTTCACGCCAGTGGGAGACCAGAGAGGGTCATTTCCCATCGCTCATGTTCGAACACTGAAGCTCATGGGTGGCATTAGGAGTATTTCCGGAAAAGAACCATGCATTAAAAACTCATTGTATTTTTTTATACATGTAATAATTAAAAACATGGCTCTACATGCTGGATTTAATAAAATCCTCCACTTCTGGCGGGCCTGCACAAGCCAAAACCAAGCCTAAAATGAGGGGACAGTGACCCTTCAGAAGAAGGAACGTTGAAAGCTTTTTTGTTGTAGTTGCGGGGCGAGGGGAGGGGAAGGGACACAGGACCCGGGACTGTGTTTTGCTGGGAAGCATGACGACATCCAGGGAAGGAAGGGAACACTCTCAGCCTTCTGGCCTGAATTATCTGCTAACACAAATAATCAAATTCCAGGGACCACACTGCTCTGGCGCCACTAAAACAAGGGGGAGGCCCAGCCCCAGCGCTGCACGAGCAGGTGGCAGCCCGCGCCTGACCCGCTCAGGATATTCAAGTGCGATACACGAAATACTGATGCTCTCTAAGGAAGCCAGCATCGCTCACAGTATCGTGGGAAGTTTTTAATGGCTCGCTCAAGGCAAGGCTTCTAAAATGTTTATATTAATACTTACATGTTGGATAGCCACTCATTTGGTCTCAGCTGGAAACCAGTCCAAACAGCTGAGAAACATCTGGCCGCTAACCTTGGACAACATCTAATCTGGTAGCCCAGGGATTTAAGAGGTCTCTTTGGAGGGACAGAAGTTTGGCAGACACCTTACCGAGATCTCTGTTCTGCTGCGGTTGTTTCTCCAGTCCCGCTCACCACTCCGAGATGACACACACAGCCCGTGTACATCCCGATCCCATTTACACAGCATCCGAGTCTCGGTGATTACAAAAAGCTGTAATTAAATATTACTCCTAATTGCCAGGAATGCTCCTGAAGGCAGATGACTGTGTGCTCCCCCTGCCCCGAGGGGAGAAAGCAGCTGTTTGCCAGCTCCCAAACCCACTCCTCTCCCCGTTACCCTGCCCCGCTCTGCGTGCGCAGGATCAGTGCCGCCCCCTCTTCCCTCTGCCTGCACTTATTACCAACAAATAAGCACATACCCGCCCCACAAAGCCTCCACCATGAGGCAAACACAAATCCTATTCTCTGTAGATCTGGAGACCATTATCAGGCCAATTACGAACACGTGGTTTTAAAGCAGCTCTATAAAAAGAGTGAGTAGTAGGGGAAACAGACTCATCGTTTCTGATGAAGATGGCTCAAAAGTTTGTTTCCCTTTTCTTTCCAAAATTCCGGCTTCTTTTTCTTCCAAAAGAAACTGCAGCTTTGGCTATCCTGAAACATTCTTTGGTGAGTGGAGAGCTAATGAAATAATACAACATAAAAGAATAAGTGTTGAGCAACGGAGAAGGGAAAGGGACTTTTAGCCAGACCATTTAACATTTATTCTCCCCTTCTATTACCTGTCGAGGTACCGCAGGGCTTTCTAGACATGTCACAGCACAGCCACCAACAACCTGGCTTGAGAGGCTGAAAATTAGGACAGGACCCACATTTCTGAAAAGCCTTTGTAGGCTTTATTTAAAAGGAGATAAGGATGAAAAAGGCGACAAGATGCTTGACATATAAAATGATGAGAATCTAGCTTATCTCCTTATCTTCCACAGCGTCTTCTGCTCTTTGCTTTTTTGCTACAACTAATGTGGAAGACATCAGGGGAAAATGTAAAGGCACAAGCACCAAGGACGTAGCACCAAGAAGGGAGGGCTAGGAAGAAGATGCTCAAGAAAGGCTGGAAAAGTCTCTTTCCTAGCAGAGGCTGAGCGTGCTGGCTCTGGTCCAACAAAGCACTTAAGCATGCGCCTAACTTAAATTTGACTTCACTGAGCCTCTTCACAGGCTTAAAAGTTAAGCACATTCTCCAGCAATCCGCTACAGCAAGACTAGAGAAAATGAGAAGCTATTAAGGGACGTGAATCTTAGTCAACAGCAAGGTTAGCATGCCTTTGGAAAGCACCCTCGCCAAAGATTAATGCAATGTGGCCGTTTCCACTGACTTAGGAAAACTCTAAGCCATCAGAAAATGCTTCTGAAATATAAAATAATATGCAAAAAAAAATAGATATTAAGAATATCACTATCAAATTCTCTTCACCTTCTCTCAGCTCAAGGTAGGAAGTGTTTGAAGCAGACACGTATTTACAGGTCCGTGCAGAACTGGAACTCCCTTGTTTCAGTGTAAGTCGGTGCCAGCTTGAAAAAAATACTGAATTTGCTGCGCTGTTTCTTGATGTAGGAAACACTGTCCTGTAGGTAAAGCACTGACCTCAAACACCTAACGGCCAACTCCCACAAACAGCAAGGTAAGCCACCAACAGCTCCTGCAACTCTGGCGAGACACTAGAGAGGCTGGTACCCGGCAAAGGAATAAGAGCGCCGCCCACTGCGTCTCTCTGCTGGGTTTGCTTCCCTCGGTAAAACCGGCTTAACTTAACACTGTTCCTCTACCTGGCATCTGCCCGGCAGTGCCACAGGGCGCTCCGGTGTCCCGGCTCTGAAGCAGCGCTAATATAAAGCATTCGGAGCGGCCCGTCCCTCGGTCAGGCTGTTTCCCCAAGACCGACGGGCACGGCTGCCCTCACCGGCTGCTGCTCCACGTCCCCGTAGGGCCCTCGGGTGAACCACGGGCAGCTCTGGCGCCTCACACAGCAGCTGATGACACTTGCTGGCTTAAGAATTATTACTCTAATGATAGCGGAAGAAATTTAAACTTAAAATCCAAAGCACTGCAAGAAGTTGAAAGAGTACAGAAAAGGCATATTTAAGCATATACTCCCTACGCACACACACAGAGCTTAATTACAACAAAGCAAGAAGCAAACAATTAGTCTTTATTAAACAATTAAAATCTCGCTGCAGTGCTGGGTTTCTCCCTCGCAAGTTAATGCCTGTACAGTGAGAAAATCATGATAAACAGGCTTTTAAAATTGAAATCGATTCAGGATAAATATCAAAAGTGGTTCCCACAAGAGGACATAACATTGACAGTGAGCAGCATTTGCACCTTACTCAGAGCCGCGCGTTGCAAAGCTTGCTAGCTCCATCTACCGTCTTCCTGCTGCGCGCCGAGTCAGCAGCTCGCTCCGCACGCACTGAAACCAGCAGCAGGTGAGGGGTTTTACTGGAATTGTCCAGCTGGTTTGGTACAAGGATGGCCCGCGGACCCTCCGCAGGAACCAGCGAGGGGCAGCCCCATGGCGAGCTCCTGCTCAAACCAGCCGCCTCCCTGAGCGCTGCTTCAGCCACCTCCAGCAGCGCCTGCTCCAAGGAACAGCATTTATTTTATGGCCAATACACTTCTTTTATTTATTATCCCTTCATATCTTTTTCTTTAGAGACACCGGTTCAGGACATAAACTGAAGGTCAGCAGGGATCCACTAAACACTTTGCCTTTACACAGCCAGAGGTCGGATAAATCAGGCAAGACAGTTGCGCTTCCCCACCTCACTCCTGAGGCATAAACAAGGACCCAGGCTGCGGGATGACTGGTCTCTTCCACTACGTAGTCTGTAGGTCGCATCACTGACAAAGCTACAACACGCAGACTGAATGGCAGCTGACTCTTACGGCATTATTTTTCCGTACTGCTCCTACTTGGCCGAGAGTGGAACAGCAGCGCAGTGGGGCACTGACGTGTTCAAAGAGCGCAGCTCCGCTGTGAGAAAATTTACAGTGAACCCTTTTATTTTTTTAAAGCACCACCCAACTTCCTACGGCAAATGTTTTTAACACGTGGCTCTTGCCAGCAGAGCTCCTGGCGCAGCACAGCCCAGGTCAGGGTGGAATGCTCTAACCTGTACAACTTGCAAAGCAAAACAGGTAATTTCAAGGTTTTAAAACCGTTACTTGAAGTACGAAGGTTGGGGGAGGCCCCAAACATGCACCAACCATATCCTCCTGAACAGGGCAAGGGCACTATTACAACAGCTCTAAAAACCAGAGATAATCAAGCAGTCCGCTCTAATTATCAAGCATTGTTCCGATTCCGACTTAACATCTTTAGATACCAAGCTATTTTAAATAACCACACACACACGACTTTGACAAAGTATTAGTCGCATTGTCTTCACAGATACCCTCCGAGCTACCGAAGGATTGAGAAGTATTCCAGGCTAGAAGCCAGCAGCAAGTTTCACAATATTTCACGAAAGGTCATTCCCTTTTTCATTCCTAACCCAGGAAGAACCTTGTTTCACCACAACGCTGAAGTGAATGCACAATGAGTACCTTCCGGCAATCCTCTGAAGTGGAGACACTTTACACTTGGAAAAGGCCAAAATTTCACTGCCCCATTTTTATCCAGATTTGAAGAGAAGGTCAGCTTTTTACACTTCACTATTTGAGAGAAAACAGGTAAAATTTCACGTTGTGAAGTTCCCCTTGAACTTGACAGACAGCATAACATGCAACTGCGTGGGGATTTGATTTCCTCAGGACTACAGCACATAAAGGTCACTGCAATGACAGGGCACCTTCAGACAGCACATGGATCTAGAAATTCATTTCCCTAGCATCACGTAACGTTACCAACTGCCAAGTCTACGTGAGTCTGAGGTTTACACTAAAACTAAAGATTTTCCTTGGCACAGCAGCAGCAGCTGGATAAAGACAATTGCCTTTCGCCACCAGTTTGCATACTCTTAGCTAAACGTGATCTGTAGGAAGATACTTCCAACAAATCAAGAATTCCATAAGGGATCAAAATTCTAAACATAAATACAATTAAAGCCTTCTAATATTAATGCACACTTTTTATTATATTAAAATCAGGCAATGGTCTGATACAATAAAAAGGCTGCTTATGGAATACTGTTATGTTAAACTTTAATTACAGAGGATGTTAAATCCTTACAACTAATATTTTCCTCCAAAGAGTTAATGGAAACATCAATTGTTCATTGACTTGATAGCTGCTGCTTTAAAATGTGTTTATTTTTACTTTTTTCTTTTTTTTCTTTTTTTTTTCCTCTTTTTTTTACACAAACACTGAATTTGTCATAAAACTTAGGACACACTAGGTTGGTTGTATGTAAGCTTGCATCCACATTTCAGCAGTTAGTGGTCCAAAACAGTAAACCGGAAAAGGCAGTGATTTGCCAGGATGCAAAGCCAATTACGGTCCTTAATCTGCCGTATGCACCACTTCCGCAAAATCTTCACTGAAGAGACTTCTCTTCCAAGACTTACAGGATTCTAATAAAATCTACTACACTGATTTGATTTGTCTGTAGTTGTCACGTCTTTAGAAGGGCCAAACCTAAGTGCAACATTTCATTCATTAACATTCTTGGGGCAATCCAAAGCACCAAAATACAACTATTAGAGCTGGAGTGTGTGTTCAGAATCTCTACGTGCAGAGTTTCCCCATTAAAGTTTGGCAGCAGAAGATTTCGGCAATCCTGGTAAATTACTGCTCTTTTCACCATGTCAAAAGCCTATCTAATAACATCAGCCGTGGCCAGCTTGGCGGTGTGGCAGCAGTGCTGGAGGGACAGGGAAAATCCAAGTTTGCGAGCAGAATAGATACTCTTGTTTCTCAGGCTGGTGAAGACTAGATTTGTTGCAAACCCAAAATGATAAGCGGGAGGGAAACGGTCAAGTTATTGCCCCAACACTTACCCCTGCTGGCCAGGGGTGAGAAGAGTCACAAAGAGGGGCAAAAAGAAAGCAGCACCCCCACTAAAAAGAGGGGAAGAGGAAAGAGATTAAAAGAACCCTGAATCCCTCACCCAAAGCCCACGCCACAGGTGAGGGGGACCAGGAAGAGAAATACAATCTATGCCTTGGCCAAAGGGAAGAAGGAAAGCTTGCCCCAGATTATCAGGGCATTAAAAGAAAATAATAAAAAACCAAAAACGACCACAGTCACATTCAGCCTTTACTAGAGATAGCACAAAGGGAGGGATGACTGAGGTTAGCACACATCCCCATTAGTAGTCCATAAAGCCCAGTGTAGTACTGGAAGCGAAAACCTTTGTGTCTACTCTAATAAATAGCCCTGAGCTTCGACTCTATTGCAAAAGACAGAAAAAGAAAAAAAAAAAAAACAACCCAGGCCAGACACACAGCAAGGTGATTGTGGGATGTATGCTTTCACAGTTAAGTTAGATGTGCCACACTGGTCTTGACAGTAATAAATTTAAATAGACTTTTCCTGATACCAGAAGTTCAGCTATGTGGACAGTGGTTACACGACAGGATTATTTGTTATAGCACAACTTATATTTCAAATGAAAAAAAAATTAGTATCATTTACAGTATCTCAAGAAAAACTTCCTTTGAATGGGAACTTCCTTTCCAGTATTTTGAGGTCTACAAGATGCATCTAGAAAATTTACTACTGTGGAAAATGAAGACAGCTTAAATTGAATAAGGGGGGCATGGTTTTTTGTTTTTGTTTTTTTAATTAATTGCTGTAACATTGTCCTTCAGGTGGTTGAGGAAGTTTCATATTTTCTTTAGACATCATTAGACGCCGAAGCTCTTGCAGAACAACTTTGATACTATAAGAATTCTGCCATTTTGCTAGGACTGATATGGCTCTGGGGTCCACCTAAAATAGACAAAAACACCATTCCTGTCAGAGTCGAGACATTTGATACATTAACTCCCTCCCACACCCTCCAACTAAAGATCCTATAAGGAATCTGAGTGGGAGAAACCAAAGAAAGCAAAAGCAAGCAAGCGGTTTCCTAAAAGCATAATAAATCCCCACACGATGCAACTATTTGTGAGTTGCGGAAGGGCAGGAAAAGTAAATTCCACATTCTGATTTCAGAACATACTTGGCTTGTATACTTCCCTTCTACCCCCTTTCCTTATACTCAAGAAAAATGGCACCAGTAAGCAATAAGTAGTTAAGCAAGTTGCAAGTATAAACACAGCATTAATTTGAAGCTGCACATGAAAAGCACATTAAAATGAATAAAAACTAAAAACTTACCACTCCATTAGAACTATTTACTCCATTCATATTAATTTTTGTTACAAATCTTACAAATGGAGGTGCTTCTGGATACTTAGGCCCACATTCTATTTTAAGGCTGTATATTCTGTTTTCATAAATTGTCTGAGGGGAAAAGAAAAGGAGGAACAATTACATCAGGAAGCTCAGTAAGCATTTGGTTAAAACAGTGGTTACTTTAGGGACGTGCAAACTACTAAACATAAGAGTAGCCACTTACATACTATGTTGGCTACCTCTGTTTTGGGTTCATTTTATAATATGCAGAGTATCAAATGTTACCTCTTCAGGGTAATAAATTCTACTGGTCTTTTAAGCATCACATTTTCATACAAGGAATGAAACGAGCATTACTTCCCATTCACCAACCGAAAGGATTTTTTTTTAATCATCATATAGCTCAGATACCTACTTTTCAACCAATCCTTATAAAGCAGCTTTGTTTTTATCAGTTTACTAATCAGATACACTACCTTGAAACTGAAGCCACAGCTTTAGTTTAGGCAACTATCTAAAGTCAGCCTGTCCTAGAACTGCACTTGAAAAATATTCTTTGGTCATAAACCAACGTGCCAGTTCTCAGAAAGGGGAACGCTCCAGGATTCAGCACCTTGTAAAGTACATCCTGATCCCAAACAGCATTATCACTTTGTCTCCACAGCAGTAACACTGTTGTACTTAACAGCTAATAGACAGAAATCCCGGATCATCAATTTTTAACTAACCACTCAGCGCCTATAGAATAGAGACAAATGTAACAAGGCTGCACTGATTCTTCAATATTTAAAACTAATTAAAAGAAACAACAGTTAATGTTATTCTGCATCCTGAGAGTAACTATTTTTGATGTGCTGATCTGGTTCAGCCTGGCACAGAGCTCTAGCTGAGCTGGGCAACGCAGGCAGCCAGCAGAAGTATACAAGAGGGACAGGATCATCAGGGGGAAGTTCAGACAGACAATCTCTCCAGATTTAGAGCTTCTGACACAATTTCCTGCACTTTCAACACTGCAGTGAACATTAAACTCACAAGGCAGTGACTATGAGCAAAAATCCAGAAAACGTGTGAGCACAGAAACCCAGAAGCAGTCAGCAGCTCCTGCTCACCATGGCAGCAGAGCACCACGGCTCCACTAGGATCTTAAGAACAGGTGCCCAACATACAAAAACTTCTCCATCTAAAACTCCATGAGATCCCTTTCAAGGGCCTGTTATGCCCCTGAACATCTTAATATTTCCCTTAATATTAATAAGCGTTTTGATGCAAACAACTACCAAAAATATAAGAACTGACTTCCTGATGCAGCTGCTTCTCATCTGTGCAAAGGAAGTGGCTTTAAACCAGCCTGCAGCCACCCGCAGCGGCACCAGCACCTGGCCAGCGCTGGCTGGCAGTGGTACCTCGCGGTCACTCCTCCAGCACCTCGGCCAGGCAGCCTTTCAGATGTCCAGCCAGGGTGGTGACAAACTGAATGCTGTCACAAAGTTTTGGGGAAGAAAACTGTCAGCTCTGCTCGGACTGCCCAGGTCTCCTGACTGAGTCCCTGCGCATGCCTTGTGCACAGAGCAATTAACAGCTCATGGGTTCGTGCAGGTTTTTAGGGTCTTTGCAAATAACTGGACCACATAAAGACTACTGAATGGACAGCCTTGACCGTTTGCATGTCTCTAGCCATATAATTTATGTGCAGATAAAGCTGAAGCTTTGACAGTGCCACTGTTTTTAAATAGCTTGTATAAACAAGATGAATCACTGGCTGTGAAACTATCCGCACAAAGTCTGGGAAGGAGAAGCATGCTTCCATGTATGGTAGCAGGGACACGCAGAGCAGCAGCACGCATCTAACTCTACACCATGGTTCATTTTTCCCTCCGGGATGCCCAGTGAAAGGTTCTTCCACCTGCTACAAGCATGACTGCTTTCCATCCGGAAGGAAACAAGATTTAAATTTTTTTTTCCAGAGCCAGTAATCCCACATCCTATTAAGAAAAAAAATGGTAATAAAATAACTGAGTATGAACAGTGCTAAAAGCAGGACAGCCACTTGGCAAACAAGTATGACTGAAAGCTCCCAAAATCTCTCTCAATACAGCCTGTTGCTTTCAAGCAATAAGCTCAAAAGAACTCAAGACACTTTTGGAAAAAAATCTATATTCATAAGTGTGTCAGAAAGACAAAAGAGGCACAGCTGAATCACCTTCTGTGATAGCCCTCTAGGCTTGATTAGCAGAATGACACGAACTACAAATTTCTATCACTGCTGACAAGTCAGCATATCCCTGTTTGCACATTTCAGTTTCTATTTAATTTCCTAAATTAGATTTCAAGATGGCTTAAATTCTCCATAAAGTGAATGCACACTGTAAGCTTTCTTCACAGTCTTAATACAGGTTCATTAATGCTCTCCTAATGTTCTAAAATTAAATGGTGTTCTAGAAAATTATTTGGGCATACCATAAATTAATGAAACGATCACGAATGGGAGATGTTAACAATGGCAGACAAAAAGTAAATAACACTTCTGGATGAGACAGAAAGTACCTCATGTGTAATGCCATTATAACATAAATTCTTGTACAACCTCATCCTGTGTCAGAAAAAGCAACCGACAAACGGAAACACACAGGGCAGTGGCACGGTTAAAGGTCTGTAAAGGTTTCCATATAACAGATGGAGAAACTGGAATTACTGAGAAGTGATACTGAGGCCAGATACAGAAGATAACATCTACTAATGCAGGATGGGGAATCAGTTATTGCACTTCATGGTAAGGATAATAAGGAAACAGAACAGTGATGCACGGTGAAACTGGAGACAATGGACAAGTTTTGGTTTTGGAATTCATGCATACATACAATGTACAATTAAGTTCACTACCAGAGAGTAGAGACCCACAGTTTAGCAGGGTCTGGGGATGAGAGGGGAAGAGAGAGAGAACACAACAACATTACCACAAAGACTAGTAGCATTGTAAGAAGCTACTCTGGGAGAGAACATTCAGAAAAGAAACTGAACTCATTAAAATTTGAGTTTCTTGAGTTAGCTGAAACTCTACAAGAGCAAGTCAGTACTGCTGCGATAAAAACAAACCCAAAAACTCAACAAGAAACAGCAGAAAGACTAGCAGTACTGAACAAAACATCCACGTTTTACCTACATTAGCTCCATATGTAATCTCACTAGCCGAAGGATTTTAAACCTTGCTGTATTCAAGAGTACAGGATACTAGAATCCTGGAATCTCAAAAGTTATGTCTTAATGAATCTGTAAATATAAAGCAGACATTTAACAGAACTAACCAGATACAGGCACTAAAAATTCCAAATCATAAGCAAACAGACATATAGATACATGAAATGCATTATTATATGGAACTTGAACCTTCAACATAATCACTGGCTAAAGTGTTTTTTCACTCAATTTTGTTCTGTTTTCTACTTCATTGGTTAGATTAAGAGAAGAAAAGGGGGATGAAAAAGAAATTAACAGTACTATTTTAATATTTAAGTGGATACATACTCTTGGAGGCCCAATAATCATTCCTGTCCATCTTGTAAGTGTCATATCTTCATCATCTTCAAGGCCCCAGCTAACTGTTCCATCACCTACTCCTTTCTGACCTTCTTCAAGTTCTTCCAACAGACGAAAATTACGAGGAACTTTTACTCCTGAAAATAATCAGAAAAATATTTTGGGTTGAGCAACCTAGTAAATAAATAAAGCTAGAGTAATTTCACTGATACTTTTGGTCATTCTACAGAAAATATTTGGGGTAAAAACATAAAAATACCACTATTTTTTGAATTACAATATTTCAACACTATGAAGAAGATATCCCCAATATTAGAAGATATTCTTAAAGCAAAACCAAGGTACCCACAATTAAACATGCTAGAAGGCTGACAGGCCAGATATCAGGGCAGGCAGTAAAACAAAAGGAAATCTCTGTCCATTCAGAGATACACAGGGTATTATGGAACTCTAATTAGCACTTGTCTATATGATTTATAGTATAAAAATTTAGAAGCTTCTACAAAATGACACCATGAGAGGCTTGACATCACTCAACTCACTCAGAGCTTTTAAAAATACCATTCAAAGCAAATACAACTCTTTCATAACATTAGTAGGTTAATCTGAAGTTAATTTAAGTGGGCTTTGTCCGCAGCAATAGCATCCTTTGTACTTATGACCTCTACCACCAAGGAATTTCAGCACTTCTTAATTGCTGGCACATTTATCCTCGAAACACACAGCAAAATAGCAAAATTTTCTTAGCCCCGTTACGTTAATGGAAAACAACAGCACAGACAGCTTAGGTAACGCATCCAAGGTCACACACTAAGTCCATGGTGAAGGCGGATCTTGAACCCAGGCCACAGGGGACTTAATTTCTCATTCTTCTTCAAGGTAGCCCTACCTCAGCCACCACAAAATGTAAATGCACTCTAGGTTACTGCTTCTCCTTCAAGGTACCTGTATGAAGCATGTCTCCCGCAGCAACAAAATTATTGCCAGGATATATTTAACAACGTTATTTTCATCTGACATACAAAAAGGTTGGATTTGCAGTCTGGAAGGTTCTTCCCCCCAGTAGTACAAAGTTAATTATCCACCAGCACGTAATAACAGAAAATCATAATTAATCCCCTTCTTCACTGTCACTTATTTATTACAGCAGAAAGGGAATGGGAAATCAGCCTTTCAGTGTATGAAGTGAACCCAGCAGACTTCTCAGTCAGAAGCCAGCGCTTCCGGCATGCCCAGGGCACCGCACGTGGAGGACATCCGGAAAGGATTGAGTAAGGGCTTGGAAAACCATCTCTAGCCACTTGGAAATGTGGAAAATACAGAGGATCTAAGGCTTTGTGAAATGTAGCGGTGCTTAAAATTTATTAACTCTGGGTAACTCTCAAATCCCTTTTAAATATATTAATCACCTAAAGAAACTAAATGTCAGTGATGATTTCGCTGAGGAATCAGTTGCCCAAATTTAATTCACTACAAAGCAAGCATAAAAGAAACCAAAAAAGCAAATTACTAAAGGAATTGGTTTGTTGGCCAGTTTGGTACACACCTAACATAATCACGCTCAAGAATATTCTGGGGAAACAGGACTCAGGAACACAGCTGTAGCAACAGCATGAAGAGAAACCCAGGATCAGAAAGTGGCATCAGAAGACACCAGACCTGCGCTTGGCTATACCAGACCGCACGCACGGGGGCTGTCGAGCGAGACTCAACTGCAACTCCATGGCAAATCTACATCTTTACCTCCCAGGGAGACTGCACTGTTACCATGGCTGCTGAGTAACACAAACCTTTGGCTGCGAAAGGAAATGAGTCAGTTGGGGCTGGTGAAGCCATCACCATAAGATTAACCGAGCCCCAAACCCTCAGTGGTTAACAGGACCTCCTGGGGACCGCTGTCACTTCCCCTGCACAAAAAACTCCAGCATTTCCCCTCCTGGTAAATCTTAAAAGTAAGCAGTATGTATCTTGTGTACCTCGGGCATATGAAGGTTCAAGTATGCAGTTCATACCTGAATCGCGACAGATTAGCCACATCATTTTTAATTACATTCCCAGTGCTCTCCATGCCGTCATTAGGGGAGGCAGAGAAGGGAGCAGTCTAGCTCCAACACAGGGGATAAGAGAGCTGGTGGACAAGAGAAACAGATGAAATACAAGTTGAAGGACAAGGCGCCACCTTTACTTACACACACTACCTATTTCACAATTTTTGCTGCAGCGGATGCAGGGGAGAGCTGGTGATGGGGAATGACTCACGGCTGTGCGACGCCTGAAGCTGCTGTCTGGGCTTCAACCCTGCCTGCTGGCGGCTGGGAAAGAAACGGCCAGGGAAGAAGGACAAACAAAAGACAAACAAAAGGTCCTTCTGGAGGGTGAACTCCACCCTTCGGTCTGACACAGCAGCTCTTTGACAACGCAGGTGACGCTGCAAAGGAAACCATCGGTGGCTATTATTAGAAACCCAACCTGAGCCTCTCCCCGCTCACAGAAGCAGCGGAAGATCTGCCTCAAACGTGTCGTGTTGCCAAAAAATACCCTCTCTTCTGGACCACAACATCACTATACTTAACAAGTATCATCTCAGTCTCTGTACTCCAGCACTTGATAATGCCACTTCATATTTATCAGTGGTGTAAAGATAAGTTACTGGTACTTACTTAGACCAAAACAAGTAACGTAGGAGGAATCAGATTTATGGTAAGCAGACACAGGCCACACACTAAAGAAGGAAACCAGAAATATTGCCTGCCTACCCTTCCTCTGAGCATCATGCACCCTGTTCACCAAGTGAGGCTGGAACCCTGTGTGAAGAAAACTATGTGATCACATAATTAAAAATTACGTCATCACACACATATTTGACCAAGGCTGAAAGGCAGCCTTAATTCTGACATCTGCTAACCAGAGCTGGGCTTGGCTTTGCAACCTCACAGGAAGAGAGTATTTCTGAGCTCTCCCAAGATACAGCTGCTCTGATTCAGCATGAATCACAGCCATAAAAGAGTCACACAGGATTTTAGAGTTCTCTGACAAGTCTGAGATCTACAGAGAGCTAGCTACTCACATCGTGCACTGGCTCCTATCACATGGAAAAAGTTAACATAAAAGATTAATTCCATAGCATCTGCTCACTTATGAGGACTATAGGAGCACCAGTGGCAAAGGGAGGTGGGAAAAGTGAATTATGTATATTTGAGTTTTTACGCACTTCACAGAAAATAAAACAATTGTGGGAGATGGTGGTCACTTCACAACCAATCTCCCTGTCCAACACCATCGATGCCTTCTAAAAATGTTTTATCCCTGTGCTAAAGCTCAGAGGTGTTAACATGGAAGACCAGCACCTCAGCCACTACACAACAGAAGTTCAGAGTCACATCAAAGATGGTAATTCAGCTCCCTCCCTGACACGATCTCAGGAGATTCAACAGGAAGAAAAACACACGTGTACATATACAAGACTATGGCCATATGATCATAAATGTTTTTAAATAATTTCTAAATAACCTGCCCTTAAGCAAGGCAGAATAAAAGACCAGATTCACCCTTCTGGTCAGCCTGGAAAGATGCATGAAGCCATTAAGGCAACCCCATCTCCTCTTCATTTGCAATGGCCTGGAGCACTCATGGTCAGCTACCACATGCTGCTGGGACCCAAACCTCAGAAACCACACAAGCTTTATCACTTGTGGTCACACGCAAACATATCATCTTCATGTTTGCTGTCCACCAAGATTCCTAGAAAGCGATCTGATCTGTTCTAGGCATACAAGGCATTTGCCAAGTAACTTCCACGGCTAAACCACGGCCGATTCAGAGCTGGGAGATGTCCTGTGCCGGCTGACACAACCGTGAGTCAACGCATGTCGTCCTCACACCCCCCAATAAATACCTTGCGTAATCTTTCCAGTGTAGACTTTCAAGGCAGTAACCAAACAAACCTGTTTTTCTAAGAGTCCTTCATTTAACACAAGAAAACCTAAATAAAGTATGAGGCAATTAAAAAGTAATCAGGTTGTTGACAGTACTTGCAGTTACGCATTTTTATTTAGCCTTTGCTATGGCTCAGGAAGACTCCCAAATAGCAGCTTCGTTTGACAGCAAAATACAGTAATACCTACATAATTGTTCACTTGCAGCTTACCTGACCGCACAGAAATACTCCCAGAAATGGAACTGAAAAAATATTTCAGAGCAAAAGGAGATACGTATTACTAATCACAACAGCAAACCTATGAAAGGTAAATTATAGCTGTACTGACACGGTAAGATCTCCAATGACACAGGTTTGCACAGTTTTTAGTAAATATGCATTTGTGAAGTCTCAACCCTGGGCACTAGTTCACCAGTTACAAAAAGTTTATGAAATATTTTATGGCACACTAGAGAATAAAACTAAACTACAGACTGAGTTTTCCAGAAAGTCAGGATGTATCCTTTACAGAGTTTAAAGTCACAGTTAGGAAGCTGCTAGGTTTGGGGTGAAATCCTCTTCAGCCTTCAAACGGAATCAGGACCTTCTGTTTTCCTTGTCAAACATTCCAGTTAATACCAGAGCTGCCAGGTAGACTGGTACTGGTGAGCCTTTGATACCACGGCACCTCACAACCCAGCTGGTTTCTAAGCAGTGAGTTGCAAGACTGGCAGACAGCAGGCTGAAAGGAGGACAAAGGGAGTTTGACAGTGTCTGGTCAGAATCTCGCTAAGGAAAGTTCCGCACTAGGAAAGAATTTTTCCTGGAAGACAGTTAAACGCCAACTTGGGCTTTTAAAGACTCTAAAGCACTCTCAGATTTACTTCATATCACAGCACCACTGAAGATACACAGATATACAACTGAGTGTGTCTTACACTAGTTTTAAGAGTGATCTTACTAGTCTGAGACTTTTCTCATCTGAAATTTACATTCACATGAAGTACACAGTATGTTTTTAACTTGTTAAAAACTTTCTGACAGAGTATACTTTTTAATATTTTAATTTTCCCCAGTTACATAGTGGGAGCAATTCCAAATTCAGAAACCTTATCAAGCTGAAAACAGCACAGTGAAACCAGTGAAATAAGGTGGACAATATCCCTTTGAGAGTAGATCCTCTTCTTGAATCTTTTTCATCGGTGTCAGTAGAACAAAATACACACCTCTCACAAAAACTTTAAGAATAGATTTCTCTTTCCTTTCTAAACTGAAATAAAATTACAAGCATTTCTTTTCAGAATTGAAGTATAAATATACCACATAGGACACCTCATCAAGGCACACAAAACTCGCTTCACTCGCTAGGGGCTCTAAAAAGAGGAACCGTCCTTTTGCTGAAGGTTTCTTGACATCTTCACCGATAACAGGCAACTTATCAAACTGGTCTTTCAGGCCAATTTTAACTCTGCTTTCTGTACTAGTTCCTGATATACAGAAACTCAACTGAAATCTAACAGCTTTAAACACCTCTGCTGCTTAAATATGTAAAAGCTCCTGTTGCTTGTTCTTGTGTATTTGATGTTTAGCCTTAATTACATCTTTTCCAATACACTTCTCATCTCTCTGCAGAGATTGCAACTATTGAAAATTTGATATCTTACCCTTGCAGGACTGACATTGTAAAAAAATAAATAAATCATCCTTTGTCACAATGGTTTCAGAAGTGATGGAATATTTAAAACTGAATAAAAGGCTTTCGGTAACTGTCACAAAAACTTTTAGGAGATGGGAACTTTAGATTTCTTGCATCATCTTTATAGTGATGATTTCCACTCTGATAACGCAGACAGGTACTGAGTTATTTTGCAGATCCAAAATAACTTCCTGAGCACTTGAACCAATCTGAAGTGTTTTCTGTTGTGTGTAAGCTAGAGTGCTGGTTCTTTCAATATTTTAAGCACATTACTTGGAAAGAGATCACTTTAAAACATTTGTTTGAGGCAGACTGGCAGTATCATTGAGGTCTGAAGCCAAATAAAGCTTTCCAGCAGCAGAAGAGTTAAAATCGCAGCTGATACAATAGCCTGTATCGAAGCTGAAAAGCAAAACATTACCAGCTCAGCTAGAAGTTACTCTGGAAAATAAGTCACCCCGAACTACTGTCCTGGACAAAATTTTTACACTAAGTCTCACCAGGGAAAAACCCACCGTTTCCTCTTCGCATTGTGAAAAGAAATGGTTGTTACTGACCAAGAGCTGAGCGCTCTCCTCCAGCTGCCTCTTCTACCCACAAAGTATCGCTAGGTTTTCTTAAATTCACACCATCCACCAAATGTGAATGCACAAGTAGGTTCATTTATTTTAAGACAAGCTTTGAAGAGCAAGACGCCACACCGACAGACTGAGGCAAAGTTACCTGTTCCGTATGGGACTGCAGTTTAAGACCAGAGCTGACAAGCAGAGGCGGGGAGCGGCAGAGGCAGAGGCAGGATGCACGCCGCCCCGGACTTTGCTTCTGGGCCAGGCCCAGGTCAGACTTGGGAGGGAAGTGCACAAACTAATCAGTAGGTGGAATCAGAGTAGTTTCATCTTGACTTGCAATAGGTAAAAAACACCCTTACAACCTGAAAATCCCAGCCTTCACACACCTCACAAAATTTGTCAGTGTTACATCTTCTATGATTCTTACCCGCTTATGATATTTAATACTCTAATGAATCATTGTAAGTTCTCAGCCAGAATGGCATTTTTCAAATATATTATGTAATTTATATCATTAGACATGAAAAGATTCAACTGAGTATCTTCTTGTAAGAGTTTTGAACTATTTACCTTTTTATTTAATGTACTGCATCCTTCCATTAAAATACTCAAAGAAGCTCGGCAATCTTTAAACACCTGCTATTTTGTGTGCTTTTATAGTCCATCTTATTTCAGAAGGCATAATTTATCTTCCCAGTTTCTCTTCAATTACTTTTTTCCTACCCTTGAATATTTTACTTACAGACTTAGAAAGTACTTGGTGGCTGGCATTATTTATTTTGAGATAACAATGACTATTGTATGCAGTGCACTCCAAAGGAGACATCACGGTCCATTTGCAAAGGCAGGGTACACCTTC